GAGTGGAAACAACATCGGAAATCACCAACTTTGTCATTCCCGTCACAATTGGACAGCTTGCGGTATTTTGGGCATATCTCCATCGTTTCTGCACGAAATTGCAAACCGTTTGATTCTGTGGATTCCTAAGATATAAGGCTATAACTTTCGTATAGAAAGTAGTTCGAATTAACAGGTGTAAAATAACGTAAATCGGACCTGAAGTCAATGGAAAGTTGCTGTCCAGAATTTCGGCTATGTCGATGAACACGATTCCGACGATTAACTCACTAATTTCAATATTCCAACGCCAAACCCTCTCTACGATACCTTCCGGATGTTCCTAATAATTGTTAGAGAGTTTATGGTAGGTATTTGGAATGAAATAATATGAATTTGGTGAAGAAACACATGCCAACCCGAGGAGCTCGCCACCACTGGTGCAGTCCCGGTATTTTGGTCATATCTTCTTCGTTACTTAACGAAATCGCGAGCCGTTTGTTGGGCTGGATTCGTATCGTCCGGGGCTACAACTTTGGTTCAGAAAGTATTCCGAGATAATGGATGGAAAATTTCAGTTTTTACCTCAAAGTGGACTGATGTGTTTTGGTTTCAGGATTTTGGACACTTGAATGGTTTCCTTGCTTCTTCTTCTTCTTCTTCCTTAGCACAAAAATGGAGTATTGCTGCTATGTTTTCTCCTCCTTTGATTGCCGACAGAGAGAGAGAGTGTGGTGAGGAGGATAAATGATAGATGGATGATGGTGGAAGATGATGATAATGGTGTGGTGAAGTTGTATAGGAAATGGGTGAGATTTGGAGTATTATATTAGTGGAGAGTTAGTGGATTTCTTAGGATATATTGGGTGGCTAGTGGAGTGACTTACGTGATTGGGGAGGGATTTTAGAGTATTAGTTTTGGAGTTTTGTTCAAACTGAACAGATTACTCTAAACGGTACGCGCTTTTTCTCACCCAAACTGCTCCGAATTGAAAACGAATTGCATTTTTAGAATCAGACTGTCAAAACTAGAATTCTGACATAATCAAAATATTTTTCTGAGAACTTTTATTTTTCTCAGTGTTCAGGTCTTTCTCTGTCCTAAATTAATTTAATAATATGAATGAGATAAAAATATATGAATTAAATCCAAATGATAAATATGGTGTTGTCAAGTGTCAAAATTATGACTTCTAATCTTATGAAATCACTTTTGAATCGAGTTTATTTTATGGGTCAAAGTTACAAATTTTAATATTTAAAATCGTCATAGTTTGAAATCTATAAATCAGGTTGGTTCATAAAATGTACCGTTGGATTCGTCTCTTCGAGACATATCCATAAAAATTAAGTTTTTAACAAAAAGTCATTATTTTGAAATCCCTTTATTTTTT